TGCTGGCTAGTTCCCAGGAACAGGAATTCACTATCTCCTGGAATGTTAGGGGTGCGTCAGCTTTTGCCTCTTATCTCCAGCGCGTTGCTCTGGAGACAAGATCACATTCTTTACCCCCCTTCCAGTCCCATGCCATTCCATCACATCACCCCTCCCTCCATCTTCATCCTCCCCCTCAGAGTTCTCAGGAGAACTTGGCAAGGACGGGAGAGATGACATGTCCGAGGAGGATGGTCATTCAGCACTTGCCGCTTCCTCCATACATTCTTCCTCTGGGTCCTGAAAAACATCTACAACATTAATAGTATTGGCCCCCCTCCCTCCTACCATCTGCCAGCCTGAAGTGGAAGGCTGCGGGCTGCCAGCTCGAGTCTGTTCCTCCCCCACATTCCATACCAAACCTTCCTCCAGTGCGCTGCCCCCTCCTTCTTCTTGTAGATTAACTGCTGAAGTTCCAGACAGCTCTCGAGGCTTCGGCTTGCTTGGAAAACACCTATGGAAATCAATGACCAGCTCTGGGGCATGAACATTCTTTGCATTTTCCCAAGAATGGTCTGCTTCGGGATAACCCTTCCAGTGGATCAAATACTGAATACCTTTCCCCCTCCTACGAGAATCCAAGATTGCCTCTACCTCGTATTCCTCCTCTCCTTCAACCACAACTGGAGGGGGTGGGGGTGTGTATGTTCTCAAAGGACTTGGAGGAGCCTCTTTCACTAACAATGAGCGGTGGAAAACCGGGTGAATCTTCATGGATGATGGCAACTGCAATCGGAAAGCTAAGTTATTCACCTTTTGCAACACTTTATATGGCCCAGCAAAGCGGTCAATCAATTTTTTGGATGGCCTGCTGGAAACTAAAAACTTAGTAGACAACCAGACTCTGTCTCCCACTGAAATCAATGGACCTGCTTGCCTGTGGGCATCAGCGTTTTTCTTGTACGTCTGTTTAGCCTTTGCTAATTGCTCCCACAATAGTTGTTGAGCTGCTTGCTGCTCTTTTAAGAAATGTGCTGCCCCTGGCACTCCCCCTTGTGAGACAGTCTGTGGTAAAACCTGGGGGGCCCATCCATAGAGTGCTTGAAACAGGGACATCCCAATTGAAGAGTGCACTGAATTGTTGTAAGAAAATTCTGCCAAAGGGATTAACTCAAGCCAATTATCTTGGCTGTATGTAGTATAACACCTTAAATACTGTTGCAACATCTGATGGGTCCTTTCCGCCTCTCCATTGGTAGCCAGATGGTGCGCTGACGACATCTGGCTGCGCACTTTCAACAGTCCAAAAAGCGCTTTCCAGAACTTAGAAGAGAACTGACTGCCTCTGTAATGTAGTCACCATTCCTCTAAGTCAGAACACATGATCCAAAAACAATTGTGCTGTGGCTTGAGCAGAAGGTAGACCCTTGCATGGTATAAAATGAGCCATCTTAGTAAATAAGTCCACAACCACCAGTAATGAAGAATAGCCCTTCACTGGAGGCAAATCAGTAATAAAGTCCGTTGAAACTGTATGCCAAGGTTTGGGAGGGGTCTCTAAAGGCTGTAACAGCCCCGCGGTTTTCCCATGAAAAGTCTTAGCTCGTTGGCTAAGAATGAATGGCTATAACAAATTTAATTAATTAAATTAAATCTAGAAGTTACTTTATATTTTGTATTTTCTAAGAAGAGATTATCTGTAGCCTAGGGTTGAACTGTGGAGTTCTTGGTGCTCCAGTAGAGTCACACTGATGATGTTACCTAGCTGGGTAATGAAACTTCTGCAAGCAAACAGCCAAGCTCAGAGAGCACCAAGAACTCCACAGTTCTGTGTTTTAATCTTACTTCCACTGCTTTAGTCACACGATACTGAATTAACTAGTGAAATTGAAATATTATTTTCCTCATCATCAGTGGCACCATTTTCCAAATATCAGTATGAACAGAAGACATTTATAATATAGCTATCGTTTGAGATCACTGAAAAGTTATTTAACAAAAGAACCCATGTGTGGATATATACAATGTATCTTCATATTTTTTTAGGGCTGAAATCTTACATGCTGCAATGGGATCCATAGCCAGACATTGGGGTATAGAGGATGAGTTTGAAGAATATGGAACCATCCATCCATGTCCACTGTTACCTAAAGAAGCTTCAAAAACTGATGTAATAACACACCAGGTAAAATAGACATGACAGAAGAAAATAAGAGATTAACACTTCTTTATTAAAAATATATCAAGGATATCTCTTGTAACAAATTAGAAGAAACCTATCTCTTGTGAGATTTATTTCAGTTTCCATATGAAAACATAATTAACAATGATTGTGTTACAATTATTATTTTACAGTGTTATCTTCCCTTTTCATACGTCCATTTTAATTTCATGTCAATTTTGTGAGGCAGGTTAAACAGAGATAAGATCCAGGCCATGGTCATCCAGTAAGATTCATGACTAACTTGAGGTTTGCATCTGGATCTGCCTGGTTCTCAGCTGATATTCGAGATGCCATATTATAATTAGTCAGCGAATAACCCAAGTATAATAAAGTCTTAGAACACATTTCATTTCTTGATCATTTCTTGATGTTATCTGAGGGCCAACAGAATATGCAGACCAACACTGCATTATACACAGTTATTGGCATAATTTCCCCTTACAGAATATAGTGGATTTCAGTTTATTCATTGATGAATTTGTAAGCTACTGAATTTAGAACATTATAGGGAAATTGACATAGATAAGACAGGTAAGAAATTAACATTATATTTTGCTATTACAGTATGTCACTGAGGCACTTTGTCTTGATATTTTCTTGATTTTGCAGTTATTGCCATTCATGGGTTATGTCTGCAGGTATTTTTCAAGGAGAGAGCCAAACTGCCATTTAGAATCTTGAAGATTCTAATATGTTAATACTGAGTCTGCTGTGGAGGTGGAACAGACCCTGTTCTTAATCAGCCTTTCTCAATGGCTTTTCCCAAGTTCGCATTTGTTTTAAAAGGACCACAGGATCTATCTCCAGCAGAAATGGCTGAGAGTATCTACTTCTGTTTAAATGACAGCCATCTGTAATTGTGTAGATGTGTAATGAACACATGCAGGTTGCAGTCTGACATGCAGGCCAAATCCATCCCCAACAGACACTATTATAATTTGTACATGTATTCTTGCTTCATTATTTAGTATAAGTTTCTATAACAAAAATAATTCAGTGATATATTGTATTGAGAGAGGGCAAAGCTTCCTTTTTATAAATCTCACAACTTCACATGATTTGTCAGGTCTACAAAATGAATTGTAATAATAGTTTATGGATAATTTGGATTATTCTGCTATGTTTCATTTGTGTTTTCATTATTTAGATGATATGATGATGATGTTATGGGTGGAGGTGGAGGTAGAGATTTTAATGAGATTTTAGATGCAGAATTAGATAGGAATATTCCCACCCATAAAAGACAATGATTCATGAGAAACTTGATTGATTCTTAGCATTTGTTAATCCTAAACAGCAGAATTATACCTTTTATTCATCAACATTTTTTAGACTTGATCACTTTTGGTCTCCTCAGCATTATTTCAACATATTCAAACATGCATGACTGAGATCTCTTACATATCCAAAATGGGTAACAGAATGTGGTTCTCTTGGAAATGTTTGGTCATTGCATGATCAAAGATTCTTTGGTCTTGCCTCACTGAAAAACTTGACTCCTTTGGCTGGGCATTCCAGGCAGTCTGGAATGAGTAGCAGAAAGTAGTTTCTATGGAAAATATGAATCTTATTCCAACAAGACCCTCATGTTGTGAGTTACTACTGAATTTGTTGATTGCTGGGAAGTGGATTTTCCAGGGGTTTCTGGAAAGTGTGATTTTTATTTGTTTATTTAATTTTTTGCAAGATTTTTTTTGGCTTGGAAGCAATTTTTAAAATAGTTATTTTAGACTAAAGCTCAGAGTTGGTATTTACAACCACTCTTGCCATGGCAGATGATTCATGTTATCCCAGCTCCGCCCACTTTTTTTACACACACACATGGAATAATTTCCTACAGACAGAAGTTAACATTAATACTTCCTTGCATGCAGAGATATTGCATTTTCTTCAGAACAAAAATGTGCAAATGTGTTCATAATTGCTGTGTATGTTGATGGCAAGTTCAGGTAACCTCTGCTTGCATAACATAATCTGAACTTAATTACACCTCTTGATGTGTATCTATTCAAACTAATAAAAATACACTTGAAAAAAAATTAAAAAATGAAAATTTATTAGGACAACAATTAATTAAAACAAGGTTCAATGCATTTGGAAATTAGCATATGGGCTTAATATTTTCTGTTTATGTAAATAAAAATATATTTGCCTTTTGATGGAAAGTCATCAGAGCTGGGTGTATTGAGCCTTCAGAAGAATTGTGTTTATTTATTTGATTCCTATTCTGCCTTCCTACCCTGGAGAGTGCATAAAGACCAAATCAGACATATGCTATTGGGCCATTTCATCTGATATTGCCTGGCAGCCCTTTGACCATAAAGATATAATCTGCCCACAAACATATGGTGGTTTGCTTTGTGCTTTTCCAGTTGCCAGGAAGCAGAAAAACAGGCTTGTCAGAGGCAGGTATGTTAATCAGTGGCAGAAAACCCAGTAAAAGGCCTCAATGATTCTTAAAGATTAGTGAGTTTGTTATGAAATAAGATTCGGTTGATGAGTCTCTTTCATCAGGTTTGAAAAATGAGGAAGTGGATGCAAATTGCCACCTCACTGACTGTGCAAACCTGAGACAATTTCTTTGTCAGAAAGCTGGCAGGGATGAATCATAACAGGCTACTTCAATCTTCAGGAATTCTCTGTTATAGCTATCAGTACAAAGCACCCAGCTGGGTGATCCTGGGCCAGTCCCTCTCTCTCAGCCGTAGGAAGCAGGCAATGGCAAATCACTTCCAAAAATCTTGCCAAGAAGACTCAGGGACTAGTCCAGGCAGTCACCAGGAGTCAAAAACTGACTCGATGGCACAAAACAAACAAACATCAGGGACAAATATGCTCCTTGTTTGAAAACTTAGTTTCTTGAATATTCACGTTACTTTTTTTTAACCTTAAGTCTCTCATTCAGATGAAGAACTCAGTCATTAATCAAACTAGTTTTAACTTATTCAATGTACATACTTACTTTTCTCATAGTGTACATAGATCTCAGTGTATACAGATCTCTTAGAAGACCCTCCTTCTGTTTTGTGAATGTGAAGAAAGTACCTGCCCCCTATAGTTTTTATAGATGTTTCCATTAAGAATAAATCAACCTTAATGTTAAAATGCGCTCTGATTAATTTGAATATTTTTAGTTGACTAGTTACTTGGATGGTTTTTAACTGCTTAATTAAACATATTAATGGATAAAAGTTGTAGTAGTCCTTGAAAAACCCTCACTTTAAATTCTAAAGGATTCACAGTCCTCTCTAAGGCAAATTAGTTGCTCCTGATAAAAGAAAGACTTTCTGCTTTTTTATTCTAGCTTCAGAAACTTTTGGAAAGTTTAGAAATATATATGATCCATGATGTACAAAAGAAAATTAACCGAGAAATAACACTGGTTTTATCTGAAAAAGCAAGAGAAGAAAGACACCTCCCTACAGGTAACAACTGAACATGCTTCAAATCCAGCACATGCCATCAGTGTTTGTGCTGACAATAAGGAGTAAGCGTACACTGGGAGTTTCCTGAGAGCCGCTGTGCTCAAGAGACAGTTGATTTTCAGTACTTCAACAAATGCTAGGCAACGGTTCTTGTTTTTCTTTCCTAATGGATTTTCCTTTTCCTTGTTGGGTTTGGCAATGGAAGGCTTATGCATGTCTAACCCTGCACATAGGCATGGCTAATACATTTTATTAAAAAAAATCCACTGACTGGAGGAACAAGTTTAACGTTATGAAACAAAGACAATGGGGAAAAGAGAGGAAGAAAAAAAAGAATGTGGTATTTGTGGAAGTTAATCTGAATGGATTTTTTTTTTCCCCTAACAGTAATTACAGCACTGAGAGTGAGGGTAACAATTTTCTCCAGGGTTTCACGAAGGAAACCTATTTCTTCGTGTTCTTTATGAAAAAGCCTCACCCTCATAATGAGTATTCCATTTTTGAAAAAGCAGTAATAGCTGGTTTGGTTCATCTTTCATGTATTTGAATATTGCTGATGCAGATCTTTTGTTCACTCTTTCAGAACTCTGGAAGCATCATGGCATGCAAGAAATCTTCTCTGTCACAAGGCCCGAAATAGTTGAGTCATTTGTACAGAGGCTAATGGAAAATCACCAAGAAATTAATGCAGAGGTACACATATTACACCAGCTCCAACTAGTAGAGGTTCTCAAGGATTTTTTTTTCGGATTTAGCTTTTCCTATGTCTGAATTAATATCATTATGTTAGATGCAGGTAGTAGATCTTGGGATTTTTAAATATGCAGTACATCTGGTTCACAGTGGAGGAAGCACTAGGAGAAAACAAATTTATCTATGTGTCTATGGAAAAACAACAGGTTTATTTTCTGGCTAATTTTATTTCCAGATTATCTTTCAAAAGGACCACTTTGAAAAATGCCTCACCTCTCTAGCTTGTGACATCATGGCCAGAGAACGTAGCAACTTTGAAACCTACTCCATGTTCTATGAAAATCTGCTCTGTCAGCAACATCAGCTACTTTATCAAAAAGAACAAGTATTTTGCTATTGATTCTATAATGGGAAAAGGGGGAAGCGGTTCTTCATTTCTTTGAACAAAATAATGTTTGCACATTACTGTATTGAGCAAGTAGAAAATTTGGTGGCGATTTCTGAAAGGCAAAATTAATTAAAAGCACATTTCCATTCTGTTTCAGGAAATGCATATCACAGAAGGCAACAGAGGAACTGTTGAAATGGATCTGAATCAGGTTAGTGGCTGTGACTTTGCTACTTTTATTCAGGGAGCTCTAGGAATGCCTCCTGATGTCCTAACTCCCCAAATATTTATTTTGAAAGAGTGTGTTTATAAATAGAATTGTAAATCGTTGTTTCTGTCCCTTTTTATAGATAGCTAAACTGAGTCACGAGATGATTCTGGAAATAACAGCTCTGCGAGCCAAACTTACTGATCTACAAAGAGAAGATCACAACACCAAAGAGAAGATAAGAAAAGAAGTGCAAGAAGATTATGAAGCATTGGTACAAAACATATTTTTGGTGTGTCTGCAAATAAAAGTAGGTACAAGAAATACATGGGCATGTAATATTATTACATTGTTTCAGTGTTTATTCAGGAAGGTGTTGAAATTTAGTATCTGCTGATTTCTCAAGTATTCCCCTGAATGCTAAGCTCCAAAGATCAGGCACCAGGTAGACAAGATAAGACAGCAGAACGACCTGTTCATTGTGCCGTGTTTATTCTGTCCATGTTTTCCTTACTTCTCAAACTTCCTACACTGCAAGTGGAATTCCTTAACTTCCTTGCTACTTTATTTTAGTAGAAGCTTCACCAGTGAGAAGAGTAACTATCTGCTAGGAGTTGTTTTCAGACTGCTGTAGTGCATTCAGTCTTCCCTCAATGCTAGAAGAAGTAGGACCTGATTTCCTTATAGGAAATGAACTTAACAGTATTTCGGTAGTGTAACATTTAAACATTAGAGATGGAAGACAGTTTGTTCAACAGGTAAGCATGCTTACATATATATAAGTACATACACAGCATTTTTCTGAGAGTTACAATTCTTTAAAAGTTCATTGCCAATTTTCTTGAATTAATAAAAAACTAAAGGGAGAAAAGCCCTCAACAGTCACTCCGTGAAAAATGAAAGCTCTACTACCCTATACTGTTTATCAGACTCTGAAAGACACAAAACTATTATCGTTATACTTCAGCATTTAAACTACAAATAGCAGCAGCATCTAATCAAGCCAAAGGACACTGCATTATTTCAGCTAGCCTAAAGGCCAAAAATCGGAAACTTGAAGTGGTATACTGTGTGGTGGAGGAAAATAGGTCAACAATGTAACCATTACTGAATAGAATCAAATATAATGCAAGTATTGGCACACACGGCTGCTTCACTACAACTTCCATGGCAATTTTTAGTTCAATGAAGTCATGATAAAAAGCTTCATTTCCTTGGTTCCCAAGATTTGACATTTTGTTCAATGTTTCAGTATTTGAAGGCTGGGCATTCTCACACTGAAGGGTGGTGTCATTTAGCAAAAAGAAAGAAAAATGTAGTCTCCCACAATGTCACTGATCGTTGTCTTGTTTTTATTCGTTAGATTTTGTTTCTCATCAGAGCTCAGCTAACATATAGAATTCCAGCACACACCATAAAGTAAAAACAAACAGCAGTATCAAATTTGGTTGTTGACTTAATGGAATGATGGCTTCAAACAGCTTCTCCTAGAAATGAACTGATTTCATTTTCTCATTTTTGTCTTTGATTACTATGTAGGGATTAGGAGAAATGTCCAAGCTGATGGCCAGTATTTATTTTACAAATTATAATGTTAAAAATGGGGGGGGGAGATTTTATTTTTGTGTTTCCAGATTTTAAAAATCTTACAGAATTGCATTGTTTCCTTAACATTCATTTATTTGAAATGAGGCATTCAGAGTTCGGTTTTGGATTATGGCTGCAGGGGAAGGTAGATGAATATCGTCTAAGCATGAACCAACACATGTTAGAGATCATCAGTGAGGTGAGAAAAGAAGGTGTAGAGAAAATTATTAATTTGAAGAAAAAGTTTGGATCTACAAAAGATAACAGTGCACTTGAAGAACATTTGGCTCAGGTAAATTAGTCTTTTAATTTGCTTAATGTCTAGGAATAGAAGGAACAAATTATGACCTAGGGCCAAAGACAGAAAACTAGCTGAGAGCTGCAGTTTGATATACATGCTTTGGCCTTCTTTTCTCAGTCTAATTTCCTTTTGTATCAGCAATATTGGGGAGAAGAGCAAGCATCTGATGAGTTTAATGCTAAACAAAAGTTATTTATTAGCACTTGTTATTAACTCTTTATGGACAGGTAAATATAAACATGATTTGACTTGAAGACAAAAGTTGTTGAAAAATTGCATTATTGGGTATAAAAAAGCTATTTCTTTTATTAATTGTTTAAATGTAGATCATCATTCATGCTTTGCACATAAATATGAATTTAAGAGTGAAACAAATGCATGAGATGAGCAAATAAATTGTATGCTGGTACTTGCTCATCACATAATTTACAGAGACACCAGCAGCACCATCCTACTGAGTACAATGAATCTTAGTCCCAGATTAAATGTCTATAGAATTTCAGCTGGAGATGCTTTATGATCTTTCAAGTAGCATGGATGAACTCTTCACATTATTAATTTGATCAGAAAGCAAATGCTCCGAAAAATATATATAGCAGAAATTGAAGAAAGAGATGATATTGCAGATTTTATGCAGAACCAAAGAAGTAAAACTTATGACTGATTCGGTACATGTGTCATTGTGGGCGTAGTTATAATGCAAAAAGAGAAGTACGGCCCATTTAATGGTAAGCCAAACCACTGATTTGGTATTCCTTTTTTTATATATAAATGTTATTAAAGGTTTTAACAAGAACATAAAACTAACACAAACTAATACAGAATAAAGAAAACAAAGACAGAAAAAGAGAAAGAAAGGAAAAAAGACAAAAGTGTAGAGAGAAAAGATAAAAAATAGAAGAAGCTTCTGATTTCCTTTGCAGCAAATATGACTACAAAGTTATCTCTTATTTTATTATTATAAAAAAAAGCTCACTTTTTTCCATTATCTAATTTTTTTCTAATTATCAAACCACAAGTCATAAGTGCATTTTTTTCTGTTCCATGCAAAAAGTGTATAAGGGGTTTCCAATCGGCCATAAATTTCTCTCATCAAGGAAGTCAATTGAGCCATCTCTGCAAGTTCCGTCATCTTCATCAAACATTCCTCTATTGTGGGTAGTGTTGAACTTTTCCACTTCTGAACATATAGTAATCTTGCTGCAGTTGTCACATATCATATGTCATGTATGATATCTGATATCTGTTGACATCAGTTATTTGTTGACATATATCTTAGGTCAACAAAGCTCCATGGCTTTTTTCTAACTGTCAGTCCATTAATCCCAAAAGAAAAGCCTCTGGTTTCAATTGTACATTAGTCTTTAAAATCTTCTGAATTAATGTATTTATTTGTATCCAAATTGTTTTGGGTTTTTCACATGACCAACATACATGATATGTTGGGCATTCCTGAATAGCCATAAAAACTGTCTTTCTGTATTACAGAGAGAGATGATTGACATACAGTTTAGTGTGTCTTGAGTTTCTGTTTTTTGTGTTAAAAGGCTGTTATGAGGCCTTTGAAGAATTGGTGCTAACAGAAAGAACCTTGCTCTTTAGCAGGGGAAGTTGCAGGAACTACGGGATGAAAACAGCGAATTGGAGAAGTTGTTATGCAAATTCAAGGCCTTAAAATGCTGGAAAGAAATAATGCAAAAAGCACAATTTTTGGCCACATTGCGAGAAGTAGAGAAGGTGAGATCCCCTAAAAAAGGCTACTGTTTTTTTAATAAGGGTACAGGAAACAAGTATATAAACCATTACTTTTAGGTAGCATAAATTGGGGATGGGCAGATCTTCAAGGCAGAATATACGTGTTGCTTATATGTGTGCTCTCTCCCACACAAAGATGTTATTCAGGTTCTGAAAATTACACATATATTCATTAGAGGAGTGGATAACTCTGCAGGCCAAATGTGGACCCTCAGTGTCCCAAAATTGTGTGGCTGAAATTGAATGGCTTGTTTTGTTTTGCTTTCAAAATTAAAAATAGGAATGAAATATTTCTCACTCTGAAATACCCTAGAAATAGTCTAAATTTTCCATTTTTGTACTGGGTATGGCCTGTTTTCCAACTTTTCAAAGGGTGGGAATGGAAGCAATAAGTTTTCCAATATAGAATGACCTCATTACCTGATTAATTAGTCTCCTGAACCTCACAGATGGTTGGAAACTGATTTTTTGGCCTCCAGTCTCTCAAATATTGCCCATGCCTACATTACAGGATCAGTGAGAAAGCCAACAGCTTCATTGTCATTTTCTTCCTGTCACATATCTCCAGATTGTTGCTTCCTCTAGTTATTAGCAATTGGCTTTAGCAAGGTTGCCAAGAAGGGAGGGAAATTTTGTCTCCCTTCCTTCTGCCAATTCTGCTGCAGATGATTTTTAATGCTTACATCAGGAGTGGAAAAATGTCTATTCCCCAACATCCAGCTGCAGGCTGCTCTCAAGTAGGTGATGGGGGAAATGAGCAGAGCTCCTATGGACTTAAGTCAGCCACAACAGCCCCCAAAGATATCCTAAGGTACCTCACGGGTTTATTGTTGTACAGAAAAATGAAGAGTTATATATGCTACCTTGAATTCCTGAATGAGAGGTGGAATATCAATCAATCAGCCATAAGCAAGTGGGTGCATAGTTTAGCATAGCTTCATAAATCTGAACAGTCTATTTAACTGTAGTTGTACAATGATTAACTTCTCTCACATTAAGAAATATTCTTCCAGTTTAAGATGGCTGCGTACATGAATAATATTGCTTAAGTTAGGAGAAGGCCAAATTTTAAAGGTTGGGGATAGTCTTTTTATTTGGGGAAAGGTGAAATAAAAAGCAACAATGCATGCAGCAATGATGTTATGAAATTAAGTGTCAGAATTGAAAATGGTGAGGGTTGTCTGTTGTTTGTTTGTTATTAAGCCTTAAAAGATCTACACCAAATAATGTGTGGACTTTTTCATGCGTAGTAAAGGAGACAAATTAACCACCTGATAAATAATTCAGCCTCTGATTCTCTAGCTCATATCCTGTTGAATCCTTTGTCTTCACAGGAGACTGTTCAGAATAAAAAAGAGTGCCTGCAATCCCAGATGATGGCAGAAGAAAAGGCAGTTTTAGTCAATCAACAGTTGAGGGCTGCAAGGAAAGTCTTGGCAGAATCTCAGACTGAAAATAAAAAGCTGAAGCAACGACTAGAGAAACAGGTACCTGCCCAAGCCCTAATAAAACATGCACCATGTAGCCAACAAAATCCTCTTCTTTTATTAGTTTTACTGAATTCAATGCCATTTCCCCTATCTTTAAACTGTGTTTTTACATATTTCATTTTTCTTATACAAATTTCCCCAAAAGTTGTATAATTTTTTTAAA